GCATTAGGAGTTACCCACCTTGTACCATTAGAAGCCGCCTGGATCAGGAAGGTGATCCATCATCTGCCAGCATAGGGCTTGAAGACTGTCCTGCTGGCATCAGGTTTCACTTTTGGCCGATTCTGGCAAGTCCTCAACCACGGACAGCACCAGCAGCAAGCGTGTGAATAGGGACGTGCTATTTTGTTCCCTAAACAACTCCCGAGTCCAGTGCAAGTGCCTCAGGAAACCGCCTTCACTCCCCCCACCACTGCTCCCCAGCACGGAGCACCGGAGCGGGTCCAGGCCCAGGCCCGCTGCCTCTTCTGTTCTGCCTGACATTGCATCAGTGTCTGAGATGGAGCAGGGAGGGAAGGGAACGCTTTCTGCTCTAGGGGAAGATTCCTGAAGAGCATGGGCCCCTTGCTGGGACAGGAAAGGAAGTTTTGAGCCATGTTACGTTCCTGCAGGGGATAACAAGGCCCCTCTACAGTGAATCGCAAGCTCAGGCCTGTCTCGGCTTCACAGCAGAAAACCCAACACAGACAAGGTGAGCCTAGGTAAGGCGCAGCCCTAGAAGGTTATTAACATTTCAGAATATTCTGTGTTCTGCATTTAGCTTTTACACAGTACTGAAATTAGCTGCCTGCACAACCTCGGGTGCCTGAGAACATCTTGGCAAACAGAATGGTACATTCTGGCTATTTTTCACTTTTTCTGCCGTGACTGCTATTACAGGATGAGGCAAGAGACTACCGCTGCAGAGATTTTAACCGGCATTCGTATGCAATGTAGAACTACACGTTTGGAGACAAAACATCAAGACTTTGTGTTTATTTGTCTACATTCAGCTTAATCCAGATGTACTGCCTGAATGATTCAGACATACAAAACCCACTCTTTCCCACTGGTTTTTAAAATAAAATCTTCACTTATAAAACTGAAACACTAAAGCATTAAAATACAGAAAGCTTGTTTAACTCACTTCACAAAAGCATTAACAGATGACATATCCCTTATCTATTTAAAGCCATACTGTGTTAACACTTCAACGTCAATTTTAAATAGAAAAAGGATACTGAAGTCGTATTAACTCAAAAAATCTATTTAGACAAAGTTGTAATGGCAACTAACAAACCATTAAATACATAGATGCCCAAAATACAGCTAAGTATGGAATTACAGGTACTCAACCATTAGTGACTGGTATCACAAAGAGCACTGCAATGTGGAAACAGGGGGGAAGGGGGGATTTACGTGTTTACTGTGATGCAATAAAACTGAATATTCAAAGGGTGCGCAAGTGCAGAAGGTAACAAAACTTCACACCCACAGAGGAAGGGATGGTTTATCTGTACTGATAATTCATGCTGTGATCGTTTCTGCCGTAGCCACCTTGGGAAGCTTGATAGGAACTGGGGGGGCCGCTGTAATTTTGGCCTGAACCAGGGGAGTTGTAATTGGACTGTGAAGAATATCCACCTGCAAAGGGAGCAGAAAGGAGAGAGAAAGAAGTTCACTTATAATCACATTGCAAAATAAAAGCTATTTTAACACAGAAGAACACAGCATTTTTACTCCTATCCAGGCTGAACTGCTGTGATACAAGAGCACAGGCAGAAGACAAAGATGTTGTCTTCACCCACCAACATATGCACAGAAAAAAATATATAAAAGAAGTGTCTTATACTAACCTTGCTTACCTTGGTAAGAGGACCCTCCGCCCCCAGATCCTCCCCCATAGCCACCATGTGAACCAGTATTGTATGAGGCACCTCCTGAATAGTTATTTCCTCCACCTCCTCCACGGCCACTGTTGCCACCGTAACCTGGAAGAGAGCACGGGTTGAGCGAAGCTGGCCTTCCAGGCACTTCCACTGAGACTACCCAGGCAACTATCAGTTAAAAAAAAATTGCCTATTACTAACATCAAGCTGAGCTTACAGACAAGGGTTCAGCCAGCAAGAGCTTCCTCGCTCCCCTTCCTGCAGCCTTTGGCAGCTAAAAGCACCACGCAGGCCTAGCTGTCAGGGCAGCAGTACTGCAATCAAAGATCCATAAAGGAGAATCTCCATGTGCAGCATTTCTCAAAAAGCTCCACAGAGCTGCAGTAACCCACAGATTTAATAAAACTTGCTAAATGCGTGCAACTATTGCTCCCCCAAGGTTCAGAAACTACTGGTTTAAGTATATAACAGTGCCTTCCTCACAGACTGCACAAGTGTATACGATCAAGGCTGAGAAGTGTTCCAACTATAACTGCAAGGGCAGAACCGAATTACACACCCACCTGTTAGGATAAGTCTCTGCTTTCCCTAACAATTACTCAGGTCAACTAGCTGGGCACAGCAGAGTAGACAACTCCACGCTCATCTTTCAAAATGCAAGAGCGTCTTCACAGAAAACGGGACAGACCAGACCAGCAGGTTATCTGGTCAACAGCTGGTCAAGCTCGTTAACATCAAATAAACAGAACCTGAGCAGTTTAAGCCCACTAGATATCTAAATTGTTCTAAAATATTCGTTTGTACACGATCAAACGGCTTGAGCACCCACTTTGCAAGATGAACTAACGTTCGCATTATCAAGTCCACATTTTACTCCCCCGACAAATAAGCAAGGCAGCACTCACTGAATTTGCTCTCATAGTTGTAATCTGAGCCTCCACCACCAGGCGAGTTGTAAGAATTGGAGTATGAAGAATAGTTGCCTTGGCCATGATTATATCCTTTCTGTTTGCCTTGAGGGGGGCCGTAGTTACTGTACTGGTTTTGGTTGTATGACTGCTGTTGCTGGCCTTGGTGGGACTGATACCCTGAACCATAGGAAGGTTTTTGCTGCCCTCCATGCTGCTGTTTCTTTCCGCCGTGTTTTGGAGGAACAGGGGAATTGTAGTTATCACCACCTTGATAGTAGGATCCATACCCGGAGGAGCCACCACCACCACCTCCGCCGCCACTCCCAGAGTTGGAGTGGCCACCATTGCTATAGAACTGGCCTAAACAGAGAAAACAACGTTAGTCTGCAACAGCGACAGCATTTTGCTGGGGCAGGTATAGTCCAGAAACCAAGACATTTCAGAAGTGAGACACACTACTTAAAGGGCTAGGCTCATATCACAATAAAGATTTTACTATTATGAAAGCAACAGTTTAAGAGTAGCTTGATCTTACACTGATGAAAGGCTCAAGAAACTCCACACGAGGCCAATAGGTGTAACATTTTGTTCATTTAAGTAGACAGGGAATTATGAAATACATTGACATCATATGATCTTCCAAGTTACTTAAAAAAAAATTTCTCATTTAACAACTCTGAGCCAGTTCTCCCATAGCTTTAATTCCAGTATAACCCCAAAGTTTAGAACTAAGCTCAGGGCTACTACAGTTTTTTAATGCATGTTACAATAACTAACAGTAATTAAGTAATACTCTACAAAGATTTAAAATCTGGTGCTCAAACTACATTTGAGACAAGTCAGCCAGCAATGGCAACTGATGCTCACTCTCCACAGCTGAAAAAAGTGGTGATGAGGAATAATCTTATTCCTGTAATGAGGAATTAAGTCAACATCCATGCAGTTCACTAAAATAAAGAGAATCTTCCGTATTGATTTGCACGTTGAATGAACAAAAACAAACCAAGTGAAATGAAGATGTGCATACACAGCTTATCCTATTGTGTAGCACTATTTATCTCAAAAATCTGGTACCACCTCGATCTTAGATCCAAGGTTACCAAAAACCTCTAATGGATCAAAATCTTCTAAAAAGCCTGGATGCAAAAGCACTGTACATAATCAAGGGTTAGTGGGTTCCCCCTCCCCCTTTTTATTTATCAATAGTACTACAGTCATGCTCTTAAACTGCTGAGCAATTGTTTTCCTGCAAGTTGAACTTCAATGAATGTTTCACAGTTTGGGCTTAACGTGAGAAGGTTTACTCTACAGTCAGACTTGCCATATTAAAAACTAACTTATTTCAAGGAATAAAAGCCACTAGAATCTAACTAAAAATCTGCACCAGTGTCTGTAACAGCACTTACACTCCTGGAACTTAACTATACCTCTAAAGAGGAAGAGTTTTGCTAGCATCTCCTTTGAAAACAAGGGAGGTGTATGAGAATTTAGTATTTCTCAAGGAAAAACCTACAGTTAAAAAGAGATAAGGTATAAAATCTTATACCTTTTCTTTCTGCAACTTCACGTGAAACTAATGAAACAACTCATCATAAAGGTGAATCAAGAGCTCGTTTCCTAAATTCAGTATGCTTTTAATGTGAAGAGTGGTGGCTCTTCAAGGCACCTAAGCTTTTTCCTTCACCTTGCTCATTTTTGTCAGAACCTCAAATATCACTGGAATCACAAAATCAATTCTCCACTGTGCCCTCTGCACTAGAGTAAGACTTTCTACATTACACAAGATCTTCTTTCCCCTCTTCCACAGCAGACCATGTTTTAGTTGGTTAGAAACAAGGCTCTGCAATATACTCCTCTCCAGGCAAAAAACAAAACGGCAAAGTACTCCTGCACGGTGACTGGTAGGTACCTTGCTCTATCACTTGCATTAAAATTCCTGTCTTTGGTTCAAACGTATCTGGAAGGAATATGGGATTTCTCCAGAACGAGAGGTTAAGAACTAAGACTTGCACCGCTTAAATTCAAGCTGCAGATGCTGGAAGCTGGTCTCTGCCAAGCAAGCAGTCAATTTCTGGAATTTACATTTTATATGAACCCTTCATATTTAACTATGAAGTTTTAATGCTGTTTGACACTTGGTATTTTCTACTCCCCCTAAATCAAAGCTAATGAATAAAAATATCCAACACACCAGTAGTTACTTTAACATGTATTCACTTAAAAAATGGCAGTTTTTCACCTCATTCAGGACAGTATCTATTCACCTGTATAAAAAAATCATTATCTCAAACAATAACTTTCTAAAAAAAATAGGGCATGCATTAGTTTTTTTTCCCCACTAAATATCTTGGACAATTTTTTCCTTTTTACCTGATGCTTCATAGGTTAAAGATTTTTTCTTTCTTTTTTTTTTTTTTTAAACTAGTTTAGTTACTGAGTTAACTCAAATGTTGTTGAGCCTCACAAGTTAAATTAATGCAATGGTGCAGGCTTTGCAGCTAAAAACAGTGACAAACAAAATACAGTTTTAAAACAAATACTATAGCAAGAATAAAGGACCGAACACTTTAAATTTAATCAGAGACTAGTGTCTCAAATGGCCAATTTCAAGTTCCCTGCAATTTCAAGTTCCAGTGAAATTATTTCTCCAGCTTATAAAATACTTGTAGGGTGATGTGCGTTTTATAATAGGTACGCACTGGACAGCCTGAACAACGAGGCTGCCGAGTCCACAGCCACTGGAAGTTTGCTGAAGTGCTTTAGGTCCTTTATGCTTGGCTCAAAAAAAGCTCATTTTCATTTAACGAATGAATCCATGCATTTTCAGAAGTTATCAAGACTAACATTTTTACATTAACTCCTAATGCCTGGATATTTATTGTATCAGTATCGGAAGCACAATTACAATACCTTTGAAAGTACACTAGCTACCAGCCACAATAAGTCACATCCCTCAGCGTTAATCCACCAGCATGTTACAACGGATGTAGGATTAATTTTAGCACATACGATTCCACATACAAGTCAACATTTTGCATGCTTAAAAAGCTGGGCTGTACTATATTCAGAGATGTTGAAAAGTCTTCCCAATATCAGAGGCATTTACCCAATTTCTGGGATTTATTAAAAGGCTCAAATTTTGTACAAAACCTGCCGTAAATTAAGACAAAGGTAGATTAAAACACTTCAGTATCTGTTTCTTAAAAATAAAGTAATGCTTTCCATAAAAAGCAAAGATGGGCTTTTTGCCTTTATGCTGAACAGAGCTGGCTTTGAGACTTGTGCAAACTGCACAAAAACATTCTTTGATAATTAGTTCCCCCTGTTGTGTACATCGATACAACCAAGTTCAAAGGCAAATCACAATAAAAACTGCCACTGTCTTAAGTTCTGCAGGCTAATAAGAGTTTCAGACAAGCTGCGGTGAAAAGCCACTGTTGAGAAACCCAGTGAAGCACAGGGACACAGCACGAACACTTTGGGTTTTGGAGTTCGAGAAAATTGGAGTAAAAAGCTGTTTTTTGTGCAATACTTTTAGATGATCTAGGAAGACCCAAAATCATGATAGCCGTAGCAGTCTGTGAAAAAGTCACCTACAAAAGGGGGAGACAGAGCAGAGAAAAAATATTAGAATTCTTTTGAAGATGGCAAAATGCGCCACATTTTGAAAGTCATGTTTTAGATTTCTCTGCTCCTGTCACCCCCCAATGAAGGCTTCTTCTCAAGACCAATCGCTGTGTATTTTCAGGAAAATCTGATTCACAAGTGTGGCCGATAGCTTCACATGGCTTAAAGCAGAGAAATTTAAAATATTCACAATTTTAGAGGAAACGTGAAGTCACCTGGATTTGAGTTTAACTTTTAAACATATACATAAGCCATCTTTCATTATTTCTCATTCAGAAAAAAAAAAAGAGAACCCCTTAAGATGGCTTCAGCATAAGCATATCATTTTATATTGCAACCCAATCCAAGTTTTACACCCCCAGCAGATTGATGTGTTTCAAAATTTAAAAGATGAACACTTACTATAGCCTGCTGTTGCAGAATTTCCTCCATAACCATAGCTTCCGTATCCAGCACCTAAATTGGAATGAAACGTTTAAATAGAAGGGAATACAAGCACACAAAAGCTTAATTTCCTATAACGCTACAGGTCAGACTATGAAACACTAGAGGAGGTTAATTCACCTATTGGTGTACAGGTAGCTTCTATCACATTTAGCATGGATGAATCAAACATGCACAGCAGCTCACCTGCATTCATGTAGCCACCGTGATTGCCACCGAATCCACCCCTGCCTCTCCCACGGCCTCGGATATTGCCACCTCTTCCACGACCACGCATATTGGGCGGAGGGGGCACTTCGTTGTGCATGGGGCCTCCCATTCCGAAACCTGGATTATGCTGCTGAAGGAGAGAGGCTTGTTACACAACACTGGTTTCTGGATCATTTCACCATACATCCAAGATGAAAACAACACCTTTCAAAAATCACGTCAGGAACTCTAGAACGTGTCAGATACTGATCTTCATCAAAAGGGAACAGGGGACAGACAAAAGTTAAGAGAGCAATACCAAGTAAGCGTAATCTCCAGGAAAGAGAGGCTAAAGACAAGCCACCTGCAAAGCTTCATGGACGCCATAGAAGAGTACAGATAGAAGAGAACATGCCAGTATTGCTGCTTTCTTATCCAATGGCTACTACTATACCCTGGTTTCTCTCTGTACATGTTAGGTTATTCCCCATCCCCGAAAAGAAAGATTACAATTGCAATGTGGAAGATAGAGGTATTACAGAATCATTGGTTACATCACAAACAACAGAAGTCATTGACTAGTAAGTTTACTTACTTTCACTGCAAACTTGGGGCCTCCCCTGGCAGGCACAGGGGCTCTTTTCTTCTTATTTTGCTCAATGGCAACAGGAGCATCTGGAAACAACTTCTCTAACGCAGCCAGAGCAGCATAGGCTTTTGCCACCTTTTTATTTGAACCGGCTCCTTGAAATTTCTGCCCATCAACCTCCACCTTTGAAATGGATCAAATCATTGTGTGTGAATGGAAAGGGCAGAAACAGAAGCTGCCTCTTGTGAATACACTCGGTGTCATTAACCCTCAGACAATTCCAATAGGAATCTAGGGGAATTCTTATTAAGGATATAAAGTTGCAAATATCTGAATTCAGATGCAAGTATGAAGAGGAACAGGAAGTCATCTCACCTCCATGACAAAGCGCTTGTCATGACTGCCACCTGTTTCTGAAATCAGTTCGTATTTCAGCCCACGCCTCTTCTCATTTAGTTCCATCACAGGATTCTTGCCATGCTTTGTCAGAATTGGTCCCTGTTGTTTCACGTTCTGAAAGAGAAGTGGTCATGAAGCTGCAAGAAAAACCTATTGGACTACAAGTTACTCCCAAACTATGTACTTCTTACAACTAAAATATATCTTAAAGGAGGACAGTTGCACTAGGATGAGCTTGTCTGATATTCTTCTCTCTTAAAACTTATAGTAACGGAAGATGCTATGTTTTACTTCTGTCAGCACAGTGTGTAGAGTCGAGCCAGACTCCTTTAGCAGGGAAGAGCAACGTGTTAAAAGGCTCTTCAAAGAAAGGCCTACAACATCGCTTTCCTCAAAGAATCAGGACAGCCTGTTTTGAACTCAAGACTGTACTCACCTCTGAGGTCTGATCCGAAGGAGGAGAAGCAGCACTGGGTGTAGAGACTGTTTCCACTACAGGAGGAGGAGCAACAACAACCGGTTTCTGTTCCGTTTCCTCTGCTGATTCATCTCCCTTTACAGACTCTTTGCCTTCCACTCCTGTGGGTAAACCCATATCTTGCAACACCTAGGACAAGGAGAGTTGGAGAAGAGATTACTGAAAAGCACTTACCTCAGAGACGTGTGCTGGTTCTCCTATGCCCTGTATATTTTGGGGAAAGTATTTGAAAGGGCTGCTCAGAGTCACGCTGTTAAATTTTGTTAAGAATATTATGGCTAGCATTCTGTAAGGATTACTCATCTTACTTTCCCCTCCTTTCCCAAATCCTGTGGACACTTCCAAAACTAAGTAGTGAGGTCTCTGCCTTGCAAGTTCACGCACAGACTATACCGTCTTGATATTTAACTTCTACCCTGGATGCGACCTGGTCTGTGCTGGAAGGTTTACACATTTCACAGATAGTTTTAATCATGACTTTTGTGATGATCAGGGGCTTTCAGGTTGCCCTTTTCAAGTTTAAGAGGTCAACAACCATTCCTAGAAAATATACGGCCTGTTATTTAGAGGCCTTTGGCAGAAGTTTACAGACACAGCTCTTACCTTCACTGCCACATGCAATTTGGCTGTCTTTTTGGAAGGTCCTGATGCCTCAAATGTGCTGCCATCAATTTCCACAGACATTGTAAAGATAGGAGCATGAACAGGACCAGTCTGAGACACAAGTTTGTACTGAAGCCCAGGTTTTAGCTGGTTTAGTTTCATCAGTGCATTCATGGCCTGGGGAGGTTCGAGTTTTTCCTCTGAACAGGAAAACAAGATTTTCAGATGTTTGCAATCTCTTTAGAAGAAGCAAAGCTAATTTCAGATAGCGCGTTATCTGTCGTTTTTGTCCTTGTAAGAGTTTAAAAGTTATACCAAGTTAAGACCTTACAGTGGTAGTTATTTACAGTTTTAAAGTTCACACGCCCTACAACTCATATTTATTTGTACCTACCTCTTGTTAACTCAATACCTTTTTTCTGAATCTTCTTTTTCTTTTTGCTGGGAGACTTCTCCTCTCCATCCTCCTCCATAGGACGCTTCATTGGGGTAACAGCATATGTTGTACTGGGAGGAATCTGGACTGTAACAACCGGAAGAGAAGAACTAAGTATTCCAGTTTCCAATAACAAAAGCGGCAATAGCCTCACAAACACGTTATTTTTTTCTAGTACCTACCAGTGTAGTCAACAGGGTTTTCATTCTTTGGTTTCTTGGGCATTTTGGAAGGCAGGGGATCCATCCCCAAGACCTTGTGAAGCTGGCCAAAAGCAGCAAGTCTCAGAGCATGCTAGAAAGATTAAACGCATGTTACTGGGACGCACAAGTTGCTACAGCAATCTTTGTTCACTGCAGTTTCAGATGGGAACATTCTACCCACCCCTACACAAAATTCCTCCTCATCAGTTTAAATAGGACTCTCCTTTGAATTTTTGGCAGTTCAACCCAAAATACGGGTCATGGCAGTAAGTCACTATTTAAAACCTGATACTTTGCTTCTGGTTGGCCAAGCTACAAATTCCTTATTGGTGTGGGACCCATTTGTATTTCTTTACTTGACTAGATATTAAAAAAAAGTTAACACCAACCTCTGTGAGGCTACTATACTACCATTAACCAATATGGAAGTTCAGAGTCAGTTGAACTGATTAAGTTTTTGTAACATCTGTAGTCAAAACTATACCTGAGCACTCTGTGTGATATCTTCCCTTTGTTGTCTGTCTAGATGCCCAATAGCATCAGTGGCTTCTTTTTCACAAGGATCATAAATACCAGAACCATCTGAAGGCAGGAAACAAGGAAGATATGCAGAGAATTATCCTGGTGTTTCTAAAGAAACTAAACTAAGTATTCCCTTGGCATCAATCAACACTCATCTCTCGAAGAACACCGACTGACATGATCCATCCAATGTCCAACATTCTGAAACTTGTCTGGATTATTTTACAAGTACAATTATAAGTGAAACTGGTCACAACCACTCAGAGAAGCAATTTTACACTTGCAAAAAACTGGTACCTCTCTCTACAGGGTTTAACATCATGGGTCCATAGCTTTGAACACATGTGCCCTAAAGAACAGCAAGGTACTGTAGTACCCATATATACTGGGGGGTTCTGAGTTTTGAATCTAAGTTGTCCACACATATAACAAGGGATGTCTCAAATACTAGGCAACACAATAGTGCATCAAAGCTTCAATCATATTTCATTTCAGCTTCACTTTGAAATGTAAATGCAGAGAACCACCTAACCTGGCATAACGATTCCTGATGCAAGGCATTCGAGAACTCTCCTCAGAGCCTCGCCAGCTCCCATTGGTCTATTAGCAGTTCCAATAGATTTTTCACACAGTAGCTCTAGAGGCTGAAAGACATTTGTGAAAAGTGAGGAAAGCAAACGTATGTGCAAGCGTAGCGTACTGTGATTATTGTGAGCTTAGAGTTACTTAAAATTCTCAGCACAGAACGCAAGGAAAACAATTCACACTGCAGAACTTCAATATGCATCTTTCAAGGGTGCAAACTTGTTTTTACTATTATATAAAGCTAACTTATTGAACGCGTGTCAACTTAGCAGAGCTAAACAATGACTTGAAGAAGCGGTACATAAAAAGGAAAAGAAAAGAGAATTACCCATCCTCTTAGTGGTGCCCAAGTAGGAACCCGAGTACACAGATCTCTCAAAACCCGGATGACTATGACGCACGACTTCAGACCGTTAGCCCTGGCCTAGAACAGGAATCAAAAGCAGACATACATTCAATAAAAATACCAAAACTGTTCTTTTGCAGACATTAATGTTTGCAGTGCTACTTTGTCAAGGGTAAACAATATTTCACATTACAATTTTATAACTTTAATCGTAGTGTACAAAGGCAACATTACTCTTAACACAAAGCAGCAGCTATGCATCTACTCATTAAAAAAGGTTCCTTTTGAATGTTAAATTCACTTAAGTGCTTCTTTAGCAACTGTACCATTGACAGACGCTAAGTTCAGCACATCTAACTATCGTCCAACTTTAAAGTATTTTAAATAAAAAAAGTTAGCCAGTTAAAAGTTTACATATTTTCTACTTAAAGACAAATATAAGAACAAAATGCAAACCTGGAACCACTTGGCGTGTCGGAGTGACGCCAAGGCAGCAAGGCATTTCTGCCTGTCCAGAACGTCCGGGGAGTCGTTGACTGATAGCGTTTCTATTCGTGGATGGAATAAGAAGACAAGGCACAGTTTGACCAAGGGGGTTCTGTCAGGTGGAGAGGGGATGAGGCAGCTTCCTAAAGGGCAGCTGAGGCTCCCAAAAGATCGTGATCTAGATCCTTTACCTGGAAGGATGGTCTGCAGTACACTTGACTATTGGCCTTACTTAGAAATTAAAACTGCAGAGACAGGCAAGTGTAACAGGGACAGACTGAAGTCTATTTTGTGAGGAGGAGATGGAAAGTAATGCTGTATGGGAGAGGACAGAAATCCTTTACTACTTGAATGAAGTTGCAGAGTATGAGGCCTGTAATTGCTAATAAATGGAAATTTAAAATAAATCCCCACTCTGCGTTCAGAGTGTAACTTTAGCGGAGGAGTGGGGGTATGCATGAGCTTTTCTAGGATCAAGGGAACCCCCTCCGCCCATAAGGCTTGACTGCCCTGGCCCCAACCCGTGACAGAGAGCGTCCTGTTGGTCAAAGGTCCAGCGTCCCTAAAATCGACAAACTAGAAGGCTTGGTAGACGAGGTCAGATATCAAAACCATAGACAGTCAATAGAGCACAAAAATATTTTCCAGTCTGTGCTGCAGCAAAATTGAAGCTATGGTTTTAAAAAGTGCAAAGTTTCTGACGACCAGGGTTTTAGATAAGGCTAGTGCACAGAGCAAGTGTTTGAGGTCTGTGAATTAAACAGCGTGATGCCTATGATACAGGATTGATCATAGCAAAAAAAAAAAGTCAAGCGTAAAGACATTTGTGAATTCTCGTTCCAAAAAAATTTAAGATCAAACGTAGAAGCTAACTTTATCCAAAACTCTGAATCACATTCTGGAATTCTGAGCTTTAGCTGATAAAACAGCCAATCAAGGAGACCCAGAGCACCTATCATTCTTGCTGCAACACAAACTTTGTAACATCCAATTTCATGTACATGCAAGTCATTTAACAAGAAGCCTTCAATATGTTTAAAATGTATATGCTTATATTTTTATGTATTGTGCAGGCCACTTACATGGCTAGATACAAAACAAGATTAATACAACAACATTACATATTAGTGAACTAAAGGCCCAAGTAAAAAAAGGAAAACTGAAAAAAGGAGCAAAATACCATTTGAAAGGTGCTACTCAGTTTCAGAAGTTCAGTCCAAATAAACCATAATCATGATCTCATGTGGTTAGCATCGCGTTAGGAAATCTTGAATTTGTATAAAAATAATTGCTGCTACTTAGGCTGAAATTGAATAGCACGCTTTAACAGTGAATTAGCAACAGAAAAATACAAGTTTCCAAACTGACTGTTGGCTGTTTTCAGTCTTCCATACCTCCAGCTAACTGTTTTTCCATTTCTTCTCTGACAACAGGTGACGTCAAATGGATGGTCAGTGTCAATGAAGGCTCTTTTGTATTCTTAATTACAATTGCAGCATCGCCAACTGACTGGATTATTTCATATTTGTCTTCAGTAATAGCCTGCAATATAGTTTCACCACTTAGCAATCTTCCAAAGCATTTCTTAGAGCTGCAATGTCCCTTTTTTTCCAGAAAAAACAAGAACAGGGTCTATAAAGTTTCAGTTAATAAAAAGGTGTTGATTTACAAGGGAATTCTAGAATGATGCTACACATCTATGACAATTACTTTTCTAAGAGAAGATAAGCATGCGCATCAAAAAAATGCCATCAAGTGTCTTTTTATCCATTTAAATTATATTTTGCTTGTTCTGCTCACTGTAACAAGCACACAGAAATAGCGAAAGATTTTACTCACAGCAAGCTGTACTCCAAGATTGTCAGCTACTTTCTCCAGGAGATCTGTTGTGGGCTTATCTTTGCACAAAAGAACTAGCTCAAGATCCAAGTCTCCCTTCAGTAACAGGCCTTTTGCTACAAGCCCTACACGCATCACTCCACGAAGGGTCCTAGTCAACTGTTCTGTAGCCTTCTGATCCCTGCAAATATACAGGGTACAATCATGACGGCTTAAAAACTAAAAAATTAACTGCAGCTAGATAAGTGCAAACACTTAACTGAAACTAGGGGATATATCTGCAAAGACCAAGTATGAAACATGACCCCCACTGAAGTGCTACTACACTTACCTAGGAAAAGTTGCTTTAGTCCCAGGTTAGCTCTCCCTCTCCTCTTAATTCCATTACTCCACAGCCAGGCAAAATAACATCTTTTCAAACTTCAGAGAGTATATTTCTACTACTCTAAGTAAGACAGCCCTATCACTTCGGACAGTGCCCTTTAAAACACTTGCTTAGCCATGTTCCTTACCCTCCTTCTTTGTTTTCCTCTTCAGCTGCTGACTCCATGGCCTCCTGTTCTGGCTGCTCCCCACTGACTTTTTCCTGTTCATCTATCCAGTCAGAAACAGCTTTGAGGGCCCGTTCTGTATGGGACACCATATTCTGAACTGCTTCCAGCTCTTCTTGAGTTGGGTAGACGGCTGAATGTTTTGCCATCACGTGGCGGTCATCGTTCACAAAAATACGCATTGGTCGCTGAAAAGCGAATTTGAAACAATTCAGTAGCGGGCTAAACACAGAAGTTAATCTTGCAAGTCCAAAAATTCCAGAACCTTACCATTTTTGCCTTTGAATGTCTGTCCAAATTTTCAAAAGGTACTTATTTAGATTCTTCCACCAAAAAGACTGTACCAGTACCACAATTTTCCGTAATCTGGAAACGGCAGAAAACTGATCAGCAACGCTTTACTGGTGGGCTAGTACGGTCCCCACAACCTGCTTGCTAAGTACATGTAATAATAACAAAAATAACTGATATAAATATGTGGAAGTGGTAACATAAAAGACAATTCTATGAACTTATTATTGAAAGCCGCGTTTTCTTCTCCCGAGGACTAATTTCTTTAGACCTGAGTAGTACCCACAGTAATGACTAAAAACAATTTTATCATACAGCTGTCATTCCAACTTCCACAGACTGCCTACGAAGGCTTACATTAACTTCTCATTGTTACCCGATCACCTGTTCAACAGGTACCATATGCTTATTTACTATACAGCAAGTCAGCTGTACAGCAACTGCAGGCCACATTACACCAATGCTTTGAACTGCAACCTCATTCCATTGGACGCTCTTCGCAAAATGCAAAGCATTCCACTAGTCTGAGCTGCAACCACGACTACCTGATTTTCCCTCCTTGTTTACGCCTGCAATCTCAGTGGCCTTGAGTATGTTATTTTGGCTCCTTATGCCTAAAAGGCTTTCCCATTAGAAATTGATTTTTTGCAAAGCTCTCTCTCTCTCTTATTTCTAAAACAAAGGGCAATTAAGATAAAGTATTCCCTGATACACACAGAAACAGCGTGCACTGGAAAAATTAAGTTTTTGACATGATTTGTATATAAGCTAATATGTTTACCTCATGAAATTAAAGAACTAGATTTGTATCACCTGGTTAACCAAGCAAGGCAATAGTTTTTGCTGTGCTCATTGATGCCACTCACAAGCAACTCCTTGCAAAAAAAAAAATCTGTTGGCCACATATGGCTTTTCAGCCCAAGTTCATTTTTACAGCCCCAAAGTAAGCAAGTTGGATTTTCATTATCATCAGCATATCACAAATTCAGTAGCTGCATTGAGTCCCTTCACTTAATTACTTTAGCACATCCTTTATCAAGAGGAAATGGCATAATCTTACATTAGCAAATCTGCCTTTGAAGTGCCTGTAATTCCTGAAATTCAATAGAATTGCTGTGTTGATTAAGCCAAAATCACTACAGCCTGTTTAAGAACAACATGTCATCTTTCAAACCAAACCAAAACCACTGGTATAGCTTGTGCCTGTAACTGAAGTAGTTAACTTCTTTTGTTAAAATGCAAGTACTTTGTTCCTCTGTTTTTAGCCAAGGGGCCTCCCAGCAAAGAAACATTTGTGTCTTAAAGGACTAGTTTATGCTTTGTGAAAGAGCACAGCTTTCCAAGATTGCCTTCAGATGTGAACAGACTTCTGGCAAGAAGTTCAAAATACCATCTTGTACCCCCTGGGATTTACTCTTCTAATCTTAAGCATCATTCACATAGGAAACTATGTGACTGTGATAAGAATCAGCAGTTGCTTGATTAACGGTCATTAATCTGACTACACCTTGAAAGCATCTATCTTCAATCAGACTGTTGATTTACCTCTAATTGAAACTTCACATGGTCAGTCCGATTCCTGCAAATACCTTGTTTCTTAGTAACTCCAGGAATTGTTACGTGCCATTTAAGAGCATTAATACAAGTGAGGCAAAGGAACAGCCTCCTGGCACAAGGCAAGCACCTGAGGATTCACACAAGTGATGGAGATTAAGACTTAGCATCCGTATCCAACACCTCCATCAGCCCCCACTTCATTTCAAATCAGATTTTGCCCAAGTTGTTTAACTTAGTTTGACAATTAAGCATACATGAAGATTGTCATAACTAAGGCACATAAAAACTGCCAGAGAAAGTCAATCATGTCTCAGTTATTTAAGTCCTCAGTATCAAGTTCTACTTCCCTGGAAATCCAGCTGTTTCAAATGAGTTTCAGTCAAATAGACTGAAGTTTGTTTTTGCTTTTTTCCACTGGAAGCTACACATGAGTAGTCTTACTGTTTCTTAGGCTAGCCAGTAATTACTATATAGCTTGCAAATATAATTGAAATGCAATTGAGTGTTTTACATTACCCTTTGACAGATGATACAAATCGCAAGTAAGCCTCAAATATCTTAAGTAAGTACAAACTGTTCAATATACCAGAATAACAATATCGAGCAATTAGCTGTCCAAATACTTGGTGCTTTATTACAGTTATACTGTTTTAACCATTACCTGTGCTAAAATAACATCCAGAGCCTGGACAGAAATCAGGACCCCACTGTGCTAGATGTTTTACAAACAGAACTCGGGCTTACAACTTGCAGAATTTACAGATACCAGCTAGGATGAAATAGAAAAAGCTCATTTCCTCAAGCCAGCATCAGACAGTAGGGGGTATTTATTCATGCAGATTTCTAGAACATAGATACACCTCCAATTCCAATCTAGCAAACAGTTACATATGGGATGACTTTCCCATTGTGACAAATTGGGACAGCTTAAAAGGATCTAATTGTAATTAAACCCACAAGTCAGTGTCCACTGACCAGAGAATTATTCCCAAGATACCTGCAAGAATCCACAAAGCACACATTACAATACAAACATGCATATATATTCTTGCATAGTCACACATCTTGTCGTGTGTTAGCAGGCTCCAAACTTCCCAATCCATTCTGAATTGGACCCAGAAGAATTTGCATCACTATTCATTTTTATTGAGAATGGTTACTGTACCCAGTAACTTTTGGTTAAAGTTTCCTTAGTTCCCTCCAAGCAAGGTAAGAAGGTAGCTGAAATTCAAACTAACGGAGAGCAGCACTTATCCCTACTGTCAGAAAATACTACAACGCCCCAACGAGCGAGACTTCTGTTTCCTGTGATTTCTAAAGACGAATGTTATCTCTCCTCTTGAAATCACTGAAGTTCATTTTTAATGAGAACCCAGGAGCTGATGCTGCAGCATCACAGGATTCATGCCTCTTAGGAAAAAGAACCACAGAACAAGTTAAAAACATAAACACTCTAAATTATGCACAATTCCTGACATTGCTCATAAGGTTGATAGCCATTACAGTTTGGAAAAAAGGAAAACATCTTGAAACTTAAGCCCCATTTTAAGACTTGCCTGCTCTTATTTTCCCCTCCTATGATTACTACCACAAGCAGGATGTCAGTGACTTTCACTAGATTCTAGCATTCCAACATAACGAGCCAGACCGTCTCAAACACATTTTGGGGAGCGGGGTGGATGACAAAATTATAGTAAGAACGCTAAGGGCTGAAACTTCTTCAATAACGATGCCCTAGATAAGGGCAAAGTTTAATATATGTTAAGTAATGTACGTAGCAACATAGTAATTAAGCAATGTAATGTAGAACTTTAGAATGCTGCTTCATTTTTAAGTGGGAATTAGCAATTTTTCATTTGTGTTTCCAGCCAGTCCTACTCCGCAGCGTTCACACCTGAAGAGGATGCCGGAACTACTTTGGTTGCAAAACCTTAACGCTGCGTTTTTGTTCAGATTCGGATGGCTTTCCTTGCAGGCAATTCCTTCAAGGCCTAAGGACACTGACGGCATCAGAAAAAAAAAAATCCCACAAAAACAACCTTACTACCTGAATAACTAAGCTGATGGTAAACAAAAGCCATCGGCGCTCGCAAGGCGGCAACGAGGTGCAGCGAGGATATTTCGAATTGCTGTTCTGAACCGGCCAGAGCCGAGCGGCTACAACAACAGGATGAGTTAGAGCAAGGCGGGGGGCGCTTCAGGGGG